AAGTCTCAGTCTTTTTAGAATTCAACTGAAGGCAGTTTTCACGAAGCCACGACTTTACACTTGAAAGACAATCCATTAACTCTGACAGTCTGTGCAACTCTGACTCCTTAAACGAAAAATACAGTTGGATATCATCAGCATAGAGATGGTAAGAAACATTTTTAAAACGGCTAATGGTTTTTCCAAGGGGGCTGATGTACAAACAAAATAGGTCCCAAAACAGATCCCTGAGGAACACCGTGTAACAAAGGAGTAGCTTCAGACATAATGTTATTTATACACACAGAGAAAGTTCTGTTGGTCAAGTAGGACGATAACCATTTAAGGACAGTTCCAGAAATGCCAAAGTCAGTATTGAGCCTCTGTAGCAGTAATTTATGATCTACAGTATCAAAAGCTGCAGACAGATCAAGCAGGATCAATACAGAAAACTGACCAGAGTCAGCAGCCATTCGGATGTCGCTGGACACTTTTAGTAAGGCAGTCTCAGTAGAGTGCATCTTACGGAAGCCCGATTGAAATTTATCAAACATTTCATCTTTTTGGAGAAAAGCAGACAACTGTTCTGCTACCACCTTTTCCACAACTTTGGAGAGAAATGGTAATTTCGATATGGGCCAAATGCCGCCAGATTACAGAAGTGAGAAGCACATTCCAAGTGCATGGTAGTAAGTAAGTAAGTAAGTTTTTATTTATATACCGCCTTTACACTGCAGAGCTGAGTCTCAAAGCGGTTTACAATCGTTAATTTTGGGCATTTGTATCTCACTCCTCACAGAGATGGGAGCGGGGCCAGTACAGGAGGCACATGCCAGAACTATTGGACATATTTTTAGTGGTAGGGGAAACCGGAGTACCCGGAGGAAACCTACGCAGACACGGGGAGAACATGCAAACTCCACTCAGAAAGGCCCTGGTCCGACCGGGATTCGAACCCAGGACCTTCTTGCTGAGAGGCGAGAGTGCTATCCACTCAGCCACCGTGCCGCCCTGACATGGTCTGTCAGATGCACTGGGTGTGCTTAAAGCCATCTCTGAGGAGTAACACTTATGATGTAATTTTTTTTTCAACAGTGTTTATTTTCTCATAGTCTTATTCAAATGTTTTGCATACTAAAACTACACAAAAACTCCATTATAAGTAATTAATCAGACTAAAACTAGGGCTATACAATTGATCACATTAGCAATTTTATCACAGTATTACACAACGCAATTTGCAAATCACGGAGGAATGCCATTTTAAATTTAAAAATATGATGGAAATATACTTTTGTTTAGGATTATATCAGTGATTTTTCAGTGAACTAATTAAAAATTGTTACATAACCAATTAAAAGAAGTGACTCAAAACACTGTCAGTTTTAAAAGACTCAATTTGAATTAAACATGTCAAAATGAACACTAGTAAAGTTTATTTTTTGTTTTTAGTAATAAGTAGGCTACTATACTCAAGTATTCTTAGTTGGAAATGAATATGCGAAGTAGCAGCAGTAGCAGCAGCAGTAGCAGCATAAGCAGTAGTAGCAGTAGTAGCAGCAGCAGCAGCAGCAGTAGTAGCAGTAGCAGCAGCAGTAGTAGCAGTAGTAGCAGTAGCAGTAGCAGCAGTAGCAGCAGCAGTAGCAGCATAAGCAGTAGTAGCAGTAGTAGCAGCATAAGCAGTAGTAGCAGTAGCAGTAGCAGCAGTAGCAGTAGCAGCAGTAGCAGCAGCAGTAGCAGTAGTAGCAGTAGTAGCAGCAGCAGCAGCAGCAGTAGTAGCAGTAGCAGCAGCAGTAGTAGCAGCAGTAGTAGCAGCAGTAGTAGCAGCAGTAGCAGCAGTAGTAGTAGTAGTAGTAGCAGCAGTAGTAGCAGTAGTAGCAGCAGTAGTAGCAGCAGTAGCAGCAGTAGTAGTAGTAGCAGTAGTAGCAGCAGTAGCAGTAGCAGCAGTAGTAGTAGTAGTAGTAGTAGCAGCAGTAGCAGCAGTAGTAGCAGCAGTAGCAGTAGCAGCAGTAGTAGTAGTAGTAGCAGTAGTAGCAGCAGTAGCAGTAGCAGTAGCAGTAGTAGCAGCAGTAGTAGTAGCAGCAGTAGCAGCAGTAGTAGCAGTAGTAGCAGCAGCAGTAGCAGCAGTAGTAGCAGCAGCAGTAGCAGCAGCAGTAGCAGTAGCAGTAGTAGCAGTAGCAGTAGCAGCAGTAGTAGCAGTAGTAGCAGTAGCAGTAGTAGCAGTAGCAGTAGCAGTAGTAGCAGTAGTAGCAGTAGCAGTAGGAGGTCTGTCATAGACAGAAGTCATGTAGCTGCTGTTTTCTTGTCATTATTGTTATTATTATCAATGTTATTTGTATGAATATAAGAAGCTGACGCACTCGGTCCAGACTCGGCCCAGACTCGGCCCAGACTCGGCCCAGACTCGGCCCAGACTCGGCCCAGACTCGGCCCAGACTCGGCCCAGACTCGGTCCAGACTTCCTAAGACCTGGGAACATAGAGACAGATGCAGATTGTTCCTTTACCAGAGAAAACACAACACTTTTATTTTGCCGCTTGTGATTTGCAACAATAATAAAAACACACAACTTGTAAACATGACGCACACATTCCTGGAACACAACAATCGTTCTCTCCGGCGTCGGCGGTGATTTTCCGCTGAACCGGGCCGTGGAAATTGCCAATCGCACCATTAGCATTCGTACCTGCTCGTCTCTTTGCCTGTGTGTGTGTGTGTGTGTGTGTGTGTGTGTGTGTGTGTGTGTGTGTGTGTGTATATGCGTGTGTGTGTGTCTGTGTGTGTGTGTGTTTCAGTCAAAGCCGGGGGAAAGGCCTGATTTGCATATTCTCTCTCTTCCTTATCTGTACTTTCAGCTCTGAGCTTTGTCGATTCAGACGCTTCAATAAATACTTTTTCTGCTTTTTGGAAAACGAGAAAATCAGTTGTTTCGGCTTCGTTATGTAGAAGTGAGTGTGTGTCTGTGTGTGTGTGTGTGTGTGTATCTGTGTGTGTGTGTGTGTGTGTATCTGTGTGTGTGTCTGCGTGTGTCTGTGTGTGTGTGTCTCTGTGTGTGTGTGTGTGTATCTGTGTGTGCGTGTGTGTGTGTGTGTAGAGATGGAGAGCCGCCTCATGATGAAATTCACAGGCAATTTTGAAGAATCCAATCACTGCAGGAAAAAGAAGGAAATGGGTAAAAGTGACGGATCTAAAACCAGAGGAGGTTTGTGAGAACGCACAACTGTGAGAACGCACAACTGTGAGAACACACAACTGTGGACACACGTTCTGCTGCTTTACAACTACACAGAAACTAACACGCAGCATCTCACAGCAGGTTTCTAGTTTAGTTAGTAACTTTCAGAATGATGTTTGTGTGTGTTTGAAGAGTGTGTTTCTATAATATCGTATCAGTCGATAATTGTGTATTTTATTTGTTCCAAAAGCAGACACACTCGATGTTATCATGAAAATGTTCTGGTTCTGCACAGACGAGGCCCAAACCAAAGAGGATTTCTAATGACACGGAATTATTACAACAAACAGACCCAGAAAATATCAGGCCCAGAGAGACGTGGAGAGAGGACCATGGAGTAAGTAATGTTTATTTATATAGCGCCTTTCTCAGACCAGAGTCAAAGCACTTTACAGTTGTTACATGAGTCTGTCACTCACACAGAAATGGGAGGGGCCAGTACAGGAGGCACAGACCTATTGTACATGTTTTTAGTGCTAGGGGAAACCGGAGCACCTGGAGGAAACCTATGCAGTCACGGGGAGAACACTTTCGCTTCTTACTGAGAAGCGAAAGTGCTAACCACTCTGCCACCGTGCCGCCAATGGAGGCTCTGGTCTAGAGCTAACAAGGACCCAAACTAGTCCGTCCCAGGTCTCTATACTGCTCCACTGGGTTGGTCGGGGGGGTCAGGAGCCGGCCCCCCATGGAGGAGGACATGGACATCAGATAAAGAGGAACATCCACATCAACACTGATGCTTTCCCTGTTGGTTTCTATGACGACCACGACACGCCCATTTTATTAATGCTCAGCTTTACACAGAGCATTTTCATACGCTCAAAGTCTCTTCACTTCATTATTGTCTCTCTCCAAACATGGGGGTGAGAAACTACTGTAGCCACAGCTGCCCTGGGGCACACTGACAGAAGCCCCTCCCACCGACACCAACCACTCACACACACCAGACTCATTCTAATGTGGGGGAAGTGTCTTGCCTAAGGACACAACCACAGTTTGGCACTTTACAGCCGCAGCCGCCCGACTGTGTAGTATAGTACCATGTGTAGTATAGTATAGTACCATGTGTAGTATAGTATAGTACCATGTGTAGTATAGTATAGTACCATGTGTAGTATAGTATAGTACCATGTGTAGTATAGTATAGTACCATGTGTAGTATAGTATAGTACTGTGAGATTTCATAACACTTTTAAGCAACTTTTGTTAAAGTTAAACTCATCATTCTATCAATGTGCAGAAGCCAGTACTTTTCCCTTGTTGTGTCTATCTGAAGGCCAAGCTACATGGCACTGTGGCAGCTGCTGATTGGAGGTCTCCATGCCAACGCTCTGTATAATACACTTGCATTCTATTGTATCTGTTGTTCGTGTTGTCTCTACCATCGACAATAAAACATGTCTTCTGTCAGAATTAAAGACGTGATCCCAGACTTTGTCATCTTCTTCAGTACCATGTGTAGTACAGTACAGTACCATGTGTAGTATAGTATAGTACCATGTGTAGTATAGTACAGTACCATGTGTAGTACAGTACCATGTGTAGTATAGTACCATGTGTACTATACTACACATGGTGCTGTACTATTTTGTGTTCAAATAAATTATTGTGGTCACAGTTTTAATTTGCCCGTGTCATCAGAGCTTTCTTCTTTTTAAAACCAGATAATGTTGCTTTGTGCCGTCGGTGAATCTGGGTTTAATGCTCTGTCAGAATGATTTGGGTTTAAGGCTCTGTCAGAATGATCTGGGTTTAATGCTCTGTCAGAATGATCTGGGGTTAAGGCTCAGACTGTGATGAAGCTGAAGGCACTGTAGCTGAAGGCACTGTAGCTGAAGGCACTGTAGCCGAAGGCACTGTAGCTGAAGGCACTGTAGCTGAAGGCACTGTAGCTGAAGGCACTGTAGCTGAAGCTGTAGCTGAAAGCACTGTAGCTGAAAGCACTGTAGCTGAAGGCACTGTAGCTGAAGGCACTGTAGCTGAAGGCACTGTAGCTGAAAGCACTGTAGCTGAAGGCACTGTAGCTGAAAGCACTGTAGCTGAAGGCACTGTAGCCGAAGGCACTGTAGCTGAAGCTGTAGCTGAAGGCACTGTAGCTGAAGGCACTGTAGCTGAAGGCACTGTAGCTGAAAGCACTGTAGCTGAAGGCACTGTAGCTGAAGGCACTGTAGCTGAAGGCACTGTAGCTGAAGGCACTGTAGCTGAAGGCACTGTAGCTGAAGGCACTGTAGCTGAAGCACTGTAGCTGAAGGCACTGTAGCTGAAGGCACTGTAGCTGAAGGCACTGTAGCTGAAGGCACTGTAGCTGAAGGCACTGTAGCTGAAGGCACTGTAGCTGAAGGCACTGTAGCTGAAGGCACTGTAGCTGAAGGCACTGTAGCTGAAGGCACTGTAGCTGAAGGCACTGTAGCTGAAGGCACTGTAGCTGAAGCACTGTAGCTGAAGGCACTGTAGCTGAAGGCACTGTAGCTGAAGGCACTGTAGCTGAAGGCACTGTAGCTGAAGCTGTAGCTGAAAGCACTGTAGCTGAAAGCACTGTAGCTGAAGGCACTGTAGCTGAAGGCACTGTAGCTGAAAGCACTGTAGCTGAAGGCACTGTAGCTGAAGGCACTGTAGCTGAAGGCACTGTAGCCGAAGGCACTGTAGCCGAAGGCACTGTAGCCGAAGGCACTGTAGCTGAAAGCACTGTAGCTGAAGGCACTGTAGCCGAAGGCACTGTAGCTGAAGCTGTAGCTGAAGGCACTGTAGCTGAAGGCACTGTAGCTGAAGGCACTGTAGCTGAAAGCACTGTAGCTGAAGGCACTGTAGCTGAAGGCACTGTAGCCGAAGGCACTGTAGCCGAAGGCACTGTAGCTGAAGGCACTGTAGCTGAAGCTGTAGCTGAAAGCACTGTAGCTGAAGGCACTGTAGCTGAAAGCACTGTAGCTGAAAGCACTGTAGCTGAAGGCACTGTAGCTGAAAGCACTGCCGCTGTAGCCGAAGGCACTGTAGCTGAAGGCACTGTAGCTGAAGGCACTGTAGCTGAAGCACTGTAGCTGAAGGCACTGTAGCTGAAGGCACTGTAGCTGAAGCACTGTAGCTGAAGGCACTGTAGCTGAAGGCACTGTAGCTAGCTGAAGCACTGTAGCTGAAGGCACTGTAGCTGAAGGCACTGTAGCTGAAGGCACTGTAGCTGAAGGCACTGTAGCTGAAAGCACTGTAGCTGAAAGCACTGTAGCTGAAGGCACTGTAGCTGAAGGCACTGTAGCTGAAGGCACTGTAGCTGAAAGCACTGTAGCTGAAGGCACTGTAGCTGAAGGCACTGTAGCCGAAGGCACTGTAGCCGAAGGCACTGTAGCCGAAGGCACTGTAGCTGAAGGCACTGTAGCTGAAGCTGTAGCTGAAAGCACTGTAGCTGAAGGCACTGTAGCTGAAGGCACTGTAGCTGAAAGCACTGTAGCTGAAAGCACTGTAGCTGAAGGCACTGTAGCTGAAAGCACTGCCGCTGTAGCCGAAGGCACTGTAGCTGAAGGCACTGTAGCTGAAGGCACTGTAGCTGAAGCTGTAGCAGAAGGCACTGTAGCTGAAGGCACTGTAGCTGAAGGCACTGTAGCTGAAGGCACTGTAGCTGAAAGCACTGTAGCTGAAAGCACTGCCGCTGTAGCCGAAGGCACTGTAGCTGAAGGCACTGTAGCTGAAGGCACTGTAGCTGAAGGCACTGTAGCTGAAGGCACTGTAGCTGAAGGCACTGTAGCTGTAGCCGAAGGCACTGTAGCTGAAGGCACTGTAGCCGAAGGCACTGTAGCTGAAGGCACTGTAGCTGAAGGCACTGTAGCTGAAAGCACTGTAGCTGAAGGCACTGTAGCTGAAAGCACTGTAGCTGAAGGCACTGTAGCTGAAGGCACTGTAGCCGAAGGCACTGTAGCCGAAGGCACTGTAGCTGAAGGCACTGTAGCTGAAGGCACTGTAGCTGAAGCTGTAGCTGAAAGCACTGTAGCTGAAGGCACTGTAGCTGAAAGCACTGTAGCTGAAAGCACTGTAGCTGAAGGCACTGTAGCTGAAGCTGTAGCTGAAGGCACTGTAGCCGAAGGCACTGTAGCCGAAGGCACTGTAGCTGAAGGCACTGTAGCTGAAGGCACTGTAGCTGAAGCTGTAGCTGAAGGCACTGTAGCTGAAGGCACTGTAGCTGAAAGCACTGTAGCTGAAGGCACTGTAGCTGAAGGCACTGTAGCTGAAGGCACTGTAGCTGAAGCTGTAGCTGAAGGCACTGTAGCTGAAGGCACTGTAGCTGAAAGCACTGTAGCTGAAAGCACTGTAGCTGAAGGCACTGTAGCTGAAAGCGCTGTAGCCGAAGGCGCTGTAGCGGAAGGCGCTGTAGCGGAAGGCGCTGTAGCGGAAGGCGCTGTAGCTGAAGGCGCTGTAGCTGAAGGCGCTGACTGTAGCTGAAGGCACTGTAGCTGAAGGCACTGTAGCTGAAAGCACTGTAGCTGAAGCTGTAGCTGAAGCTGTAGCTGAAGGCACTGTAGCTGAAGCTGTAGCTGAAGGCACTGTAGCTGAAAGCACTGTAGCTGAAGCTGTAGCTGAAGGCACTGTAGCTGAAGCTGTAGCTGAAGGCACTGTAGCTGAAGGCACTGTAGCTGAAGGCGCTGTAGCTGAAGCTGTAGCTGAAGGCACTGTAGCTGAAGGCACTGTAGCTGAAGGCGCTGTAGCTGAAGCTGTAGCTGAAGGCACTGTAGCTGAAGGCACTGTAGCTGAAGGCACTGTAGCTGAAGGCACTGTAGCTGAAGGCGCTGTAGCCGAAAGCACTGTAGCTGAAGGCGCTGTAGCTGAAGGCACTGTAGCTGAAGGCACTGTAGCTGAAGGCACTGTAGCTGAAGGCACTGTAGCTGAAGGCACTGTAGCCGAAAGCACTGTAGCTGAAGGAGGTGATTGTGTTTCTGGACAAACTCCTCGAGAATGAAGTGCGTCATGTGATCCATTGTAAGGCGTTTCCGGGGGAAGTGTTTCAGCGTGACACCACAGTCTCAGGCCTATGACCTCATCCAGAGTGGACGGGACCCTCCATGTAAGGACTGCACAGAGTAACGGTCATGAGTCATGTTCTGGTCGGGAAGATTAGTCCAAACAATAACGTCAGAACCGAGCCCGATAAGATCCTTTATCAGTCCCACAGCGGGGAAATGTCAGTGTTGCATCACAGTTATAGAACAGTAGGAAAGAGGAGCACACAGCACACGTTAAGTGAACATAGCTATACTAATTAAAATAAAACTAAATCTCTAACTCAAGCCCTCTGATTGGTCAGAGCGCGGCCAAGCCCCTCCCTTCATGAGAGCCACACACGCGTATTCGGTGCAAAGCATCATGGGAGCTCGTCCACTGCGCAGAACAGGGAGGACCAGAAGATACCCAAATATGGGCGAGTTCCGCTAACCTCTCAGTCCTCGTGTGTGTTCCATGATCTACTGAGCACAAGGCGTTAACTTGAATAGGACGCCATCTTGGATCACCGGGGCTTGGTTTTATCACATTTTCCCAGCGGCCATTTTGAAAAAGGCACAGACGGCAAAAGTGATGTCACATTAGTTTGAACCACGGAGATAGAAGTGACTACATCTGTTACTATTTACAGTCTATGGTCAGTCCACATCAGCCTACATCAGTCTACATCAGCCTACATCAGTCTGCATCAGTCTGCATCAGCCTACATCAGTCTGAATCAGTCTACATCAGTCTGAATCAGTCTACATCAGCCTACATCAGTCTGAATCAGTCTACATCAGCCTACATCAGTCTGCATCAGTCTGCATCAGCCTACATCAGTCTACATCAGCCTACATCAGTCTGCATCAGTCTGCATCAGCCTACATCAGTCTGCATCAGTCTACATCAGTCTGAATCAGTCTACATCAGTCTGAATCAGTCTACATCAGCCTACATCAGTCTGAATCAGTCCACATCAGCCTACATCAGTCTACATCAGCCTACATCAGTCTGCATCAGTCTGCATCAGCCTACATCAGTCTGCATCAGCCTACATCAGTCTGAATCAGTCTACATCAGCCTACATCAGTCTGAATCAGTCTACATCAGCCTACATCAGTCTGCATCAGTCTGCATCAGCCTACATCAGTCTGCATCAGCCTACATCAGTCTGAATCAGTCTACATCAGCCTACATCAGTCTGCATCAGTCCACATCAGCCTACATCAGCCTACATCAGTCTACATCAGCCTACATCAGCCTACATCAGTCTGCATCAGCCTACATCAGTCTACATCAGCCTACATCAGTCTGCATCAGGCTACAACAGTCTACATCAGCCTACATCAGTCTGCATCAGTCTACATCAGCCTACATCAGCCTGCATCAGTCTGCATCACCCTACATCAGCCTACATCAACCTACATCACCCTACATCAGTCTACATCAGCCTACATCAGTCTACATCAGTCTACATCAGTCCACATCAGCCTACATCAGCCTACATCAGTCCACATCAGTCTACATCAGTCTACATCAGCCTACATCAGCCTACATCAGTCTGCATCAGCCTACATCAGCCTACATCAGTCTACATCAGTCTGCATCAGCCTACATCAGCCTACATCAGCCTACATCAGTCTGAATCAGCCTACATCAGACTACATCAGTCCACATCAGCCTACATCAGCCTACATCAGTCTACATCAGCCTACATCAGACTATATCAGCCTACATCAGTCCACATCAGCCTACATCAGCCTACATCAGTCTACATCAGCCTACATCAGACTATATCAGCCTACATCAGTCTACATCAGTCTATACCAGCTTACATAAGTCTGCATCAGCCTACATCAGTCTACATCAGCCTGCATCAGTCTACATCAGCCTACATCAGCCTACATCAGTCTACATCAGCCTACATCAGCTTACATAAGTCTGCATCAGCCTACATCAGTCTACATCAGCCTACATCAGTCCACATCAGCCTATATCAGCCTACATCAGCTTACATAAGTCTGCATCAGCCTACATCAGTCTACATCAGCCTACATCAGTCTACATCAGCCTACATCAGCTTACATCAGTCTGCATCAGCCTACATCAGTCTACATCAGCCTACATCAGTCCACATCAGCCTATATCAGCCTACATCAGCCTACATCAGTCCACATCAGCCTACATCAGTCTACATCAGCCTACATCAGCCTACATCAGTCTACATCAGCCTGCATTAGCCTACATCAGCCTGCATCAGCCTGCATCAGCCTACATCAGCCTACATCAGCCTACATCAGTCCACATCAGCCTACATCAGCCTACATCAGTCTACATCAGTCTACATCAGCCTGCATCAGCCTACATCAGCCTACATCAGCCTGCATCAGTCCACATCAGCCTACATCAGCCTACATCAGCCTGCATCAGTCCACATCAGCCTACATCAGCCTACATCAGCCTACATCAGCCTGCATCAGCCTGCATCAGCCTACATCAGTCTACATCAGCCTACATCAGACAGATCCAGACACAGAGACCATGAGGATTCTTGGTATTTGAATCCTCTTGTTGCACATTTCAACACAAAAACATCTGCTGATCATCATCATGGAGACAATACACCCCCCCTCAGCCCCCCATCCCTCCCCGACCTCCCCCTCCCCCGACTCCCCCCATTCGGGAAATAGCCAGTTCCTTTTGTCTTGCTTTACGGACGACAGAAACAAAGAGATAGTGCAATCACTAGACCCGTAATCAGCAGTGTCCGCCTCTTCTTGTTTCCATGACGACAACCCCTGAATCTGAATCCACACGTGTCCACTGTCACGTCACCGTGTCCCACCGATGTAAACATACATTAAACACATGCAACTACATATATGTGCCTACTCTACAATATACAGTGTTTGGTACTAGCTTCTTTATTATGCTAAAGCTAGAGATTTCATACTAGCTTCTTTATTATGCTAAAGCTAGAGATTTTATACTAGCTTCTTTATTATGCTAAAGCTAGAGATTTTACACTAGCTTCTTTATTATGCTAAAGCTAGAGATTTTACACTAGCTTCTTTATTATGCTAAAGCTAGAGATGTTATACTAGCTTCTTTATTATGCTAAAGCTAGAGATGTTATACTAGCTTCTTTATTATGCTAAAGCTAGAGATTTTACACTAGCTTCTTTATTATGCTATCAAATTTTATCTGTCTCTAATTTTAATCTTTGATTGTAATCGTAATATAATCCTTTGGGGCGACACCTGCAGGTAAAAGCCAGATCCTGTCAGACCTCTGAAGCTAAGCAGGGCAGGACCTGGTTAGGGCTGTGATGGGAGACCTTTGGGAACAGCAGGCTGTAAAGTGCCAAACTGTGGTTGTGTCCTTAGGCAAGACACTTCCCCCACATTAGAATGAGTCTGGTGTGTGTGTGAATGGTTGGTGGTGGTGGGAGGGGCCGATGGCACAGACTGGTTGCCTCGCTTCTGTCAGTGTGCCCCAGGGCAGCTGTGGCTACAGTAGTTTATCACTGTGTTTGGAGAGAGAGAATAATGAAGAGTCTTTGCGCATCCTGAATAAACCAGTGCATTATTATTAATCTTTCTCTTGGCGTCTGACTGTGAAAGGATCATTAGTGAAAGCAAAAACACGTTTCACAAACACATGAAAAATGCTAAACTCGTCTGTTGTTGCCGTGTGAAAAGCAGAGCTGCTCTCGAGGTCCTGACAATCACAACTTAAAAATATCTCCCACAAAACATAATTCCAGGTCGGTGACTCATCTGCAGAAAACTCAACAAAACGGTGCGAAGGAGGACGGCATTAAAGTGATGAAAAATATGTCAAAAATGGCTCATATTTGTTAAAACATGTCTTAATCTGAGCACATTCTGACTGAGCCCTGAAACCAGATTCCCCAACGAGACAAAAAATAATATTGTTTTTAAAAAGATACAGAAATGTCTCGGTCAGATTTGCTTTAGATAAATAGAAACTGGTTCTAAATCAGAATGTGTCAGATTAAAGGAGCTTTACCCGTTTCTGCAGGGTTTTTTTTTAGTTTGAGTGTTTAGCCCCGCCCCCAACTCGCTCTCAGGCTTCTCATTTCCCCTACGCTCTCCTCCCACGGAGCCTTCTAGTTTTATTTACGATCTGATACGTATGCTAACATTAACATCAGCACAACTTCTTGTAAACTGTACAACAATCACTGATGAAATGGTACAAAAGCAACAAAATGTAGAACTGAAAGATTCATGTCCAAATATAGTCCGAGTATAGATAGTCCGAGCGTAGATAGTCAGAGCGTAGATAGTCAGAGCGTAGATAGTCCGAGCGTAGATAGTCAGAGCGTAGATAGTCAGAGCGTAGATAGTCCGAGCGTAGATAGTCCGAGCGTAGATAGTCCGAGCACAGATAGTCCGAGTGTAGATAGTCCGAGCGTAGATAGTCCGAGCGTAGATAGTCCGAGCACAGATAGTCCGAGTGTAGATAGTCAGAGCGTAGATAGTCCATCCGAGCGTAGACAGTCTGAGCAGAGATAGTCCGAGTGTAGATAGTCAGAGCGTAGATAGTCAGAGCGTAGATAGTCAGAGCGTAGATAGTCCATCCGAGCGTAGACAGTCTGAGCGTAGACAGTCCGAGCGTAGACAGTCCGAGCGTGGATAGTCCGGGCGTGGATAGTCCGAGCGCAGATAGTCCGAGCGTAGATGGTCTGAGCGTAGATGGTCCGAGCGTAGATAGTCCGAGCGTAGATAGTCCGAGCGTAGACAGTCCGAGCGTAGACAGTCCGAGCGTAGATAGTCCGAGCGTAGATAGTCCGAGCGTAGATAGTCCGAGCGTAGATAGTCCGGGCGTAGATAGTCCAAGTGTAGATAGTCAGAGCGTAGATAGTCCATCCGAGCGTAGACAGTCTGAGCAGAGATAGTCCGAGCGTAGATAGTCCGAGCGTAGATAGTCCGAGCGTAGATAGTCAAGAGCGTAGATAGTCCGAGCGTGGATAGTCCGAGCGTAGATAGTCAGAGCGTAGATAGTCCGAGCGTAGATAGTCCGAGCGTAGATAGTCAGAGCGTAGATAGTCCGAGCGTAGATAGTCAGAGCGTAGATAGTCCGAGCGCAGATAGTCCGAGCGTAGATAGTCCGAGCGTAGATAGTCCGAGCGTAGATAGTCAAAGCGTGGATAGTCCGAGCGTAGATAGTCCGAGCGTAGATAGTCTGAGCGTAGATAGTCCGAGCGTAGATAGTCCAAGTGTAGATAGTCAGAGCGTAGATAGTCCATCCGAGCGTAGACAGTCTGAGCAGAGATAGTCCGAGCGTAGATAGTCCGAGCGTAGATAGTCAGAGCGTAGATAGTCCGAGCGTGGATAGTCCGAGCGTAGATAGTCAGAGCGTAGATAGTCCGAGCGTAGATAGTCCGAGCGTAGATAGTCAGAGCGTAGATAGTCCGAGCGTAGATAGTCAGAGCATAGATAGTCCGAGCGCAGATAGTCCGAGCGTAGATAGTCCGAGCGTAGATAGTCAGAGCGTAGATAGTCCGAGCGTAGATAGTCAGAGCGTAGATAGTCCGAGCGTAGATAGTCCCGAGCGTGGATAGGGTTTCTGCAGGGTTCCTGCAGGGTTTTTTTTTAGTTTGAGTGTTTAGCCCCGCCCCCAACTCGCTCTCAGGCTTCTCATTTCCCCTACGCTCTCCTCCCACGGAGCCTTCTAGTTTTATTTACGATCTGATACGTATGCTAACATTAACATCAGCACAACTTCTTGTAAACTGTACAACAATCACTGATGAAATGGTACAAAAGCAACAAAATGTAGAACTGAAAGATTCATGTCCAAATATAGTCCGAGTATAGATAGTCCGAGCGTAGATAGTCAGAGCGTAGATAGTCCGAGCGTAGATAGTCAGAGCGTAGATAGTCCGAGCGTAGATAGTCCGAGCACAGATAGTCCGAGTGTAGATAGTCAGAGCGTAGATAGTCCGAGCGTAGATAGTCCGAGCACAGATAGTCCGAGTGTAGATAGTCAGAGCGTAGATAGTCCATCCGAGCGTAGACAGTCTGAGCAGAGATAGTCCGAGTGTAGATAGTCAGAGCGTAGATAGTCAGAGCGTAGATAGTCAGAGCGTAGATAGTCCATCCGAGCGTAGACAGTCTGAGCGTAGACAGTCCGAGCGTAGACAGTCCGAGCGTAGACAGTCCGAGCGTAGATAGTCCGGGCGTGGATAGTCCGAGCGCAGATAGTCCGAGCGTAGATGGTCTGAGCGTAGATGGTCCGAGCGTAGATAGTCCGAGCGTAGATAGTCCGAGCGTAGACAGTCCGAGCGTAGACAGTCCGAGCGTAGATAGTCCGAGCGTAGATAGTCCGAGCGTAGATAGTCCGAGCGTAGATAGTCCGAGCGTAGATAGTCCGGGCGTAGATAGTCCAAGTGTAGATAGTCAGAGCGTAGATAGTCCATCCGAGCGTAGACAGTCTGAGCAGAGATAGTCCGAGCGTAGATAGTCCGAGCGTAGATAGTCCGAGCGTAGATAGTCAAGAGCGTAGATAGTCCGAGCGTGGATAGTCCGAGCGTAGATAGTCAGAGCGTAGATAGTCCGAGCGTAGATAGTCCGAGCGTAGATAGTCAGAGCGTAGATAGTCCGAGCGTAGATAGT